TACATGGTTAGTAGTAGTAGTAAATTATTCTGTCATTTAGTAAACAATCTTTTACATTATTTCCTGAATCTAAGATATGTTAAAATAAAACACCTTAATAATGGGGATGCTTCCTTAATTGGGACTGCTGCCAGGAAATGTGTCCCATGTCCCTAAAACAATGTAACAGATAATTTTAGTTTACATGCACTGTATGGCCCTAATCCTGACAATTTATTCTGCACAGGCAGATCCTGTGCTCCTATACATCTTCCAGTTCTTTTTGTGGATTTGGGACTTAAAGATCAGGAAAAATATTAGAAGCAATAAGTATGGTTGTTCTTATCCCTATTATAGTGAGTTTCCCTCATCAGTAAACACATTGCCTTTTTTTATACAACAGACAGTGTACAATGACAGTTGTCATTTACCCTAATTATAGCATATTATAATTTCACATTACAGTAAGTATGGGGCCAAACTGTGATGTAACCAGGAATGCAGGGTGGTGAGAGGGGAGGCGATACAGTCTCTCATGTGCCTAGATAGAGTATGGTGATTGAGGTTTCATAGTTTCATAGTTTCATAGTTTCAGGGTCGGAAGGGACCTAATAGATCTTCTAGCCCGACCCCCCGCCAGGGCGGGAGAACAACCCAAAAACACAAACAAAACCACTCACCCTAAAAACAAAAACGGGACTCAAATGAGTCCAGCCAGGTAAGTATCCAGCCTCTTCTTAAAGATCCCCAGGGTAGGGGCCAGCACCACCTCCCTTGGAAGTTGGTTCCAGCTCCTAGCCGCCCTGACTGTGAAGTAGTTTTTTCGGATGTCCAATCTGTACCTCCTCTCCATCAACTTGTGCCCATTATTCCTTGTTATGCCAGCAGGGGCTAGGGGAAACAGCGTCTCCCCCAAACCCTTCTGGTTCCCCCTAGTGAGTTTATAGACGGTCACCAGGTCCCCCCTCAGCCTTCTCTTGTGGAGGCTGAATAGGTTCAAGTCCCGCAGTCTCTCACTGTAGGGTCTGCCCTGTTGTCCCCGGATCATGCGGGTGGCCCTCCTCTGGACCCTCTCCATGTTGTCCACATCCCTCCTGAAATGGGGCGCACAGAACTGGACACAATACTCCAGCTGCGGCCTGACCAGCGTCGCATAGAGGGGGAGGATCACCTCCCTGGCTCTACTCGAGATGCACCTGTGGATGCACGACAAGGTCCGGTTAGCCCTGCCAACCATGACCTCGCATTGTCGGCCCATGTTCATCTTGGAGTCAATAATGACACCAAGATCCCTTTCCGCCTCCGTGCTCTCAAGTAGGGAGTTCCCCATCGTATAAGTGTGCTGCTGGTTCCTACTACCCAAGTGCAGCACCCTGCACTTGTCCGTATTGAAACGCATCCTGTTCCTGTCTGCCCACCCCTGTAACCTATCCAGATCCTTCTGCAATCTCTCTCTCCCTGCTAGCGTGCTCACCTCCCCCCAAATTTTGGTGTCATCAGCGAATTTAAACAGGTTGCTCTCCACCCCAACATCAAGATCGCTGATGAAGACATTGAACAGCGCAGGGCCCAGGACCGAGCCCTGAGGGACTCCACTACCCACCTCCCCCCAAGTCGAATATGATCCATCCACCACCACCCTCTGAGTGCGACCCTTCAGCCAATCTGCAATCCATCTGACCGTGTAGGCATCTATGCCACAGTCGCCTAGTTTATTAATTAGGATGGGGTGAGAGACGGTGTCAAAGGCCTTGCTGAAGTCCAGAAAGACTACATCCACCGCGACACCTGCATCCATGGCCTTTGTGACCTGATCATAAAAGGCAATCAGGTTGGTCTGACATGATCTCCCCCTAATAAATCCATGCTGATTGCCCCTGAGCATCATCTCGGATGCCGGCCCATCACAAATGTGCTCCTTGATGATCTTCTCAAAGAGCTTCCCCAGGATTGAGGTAAGACTGACGGGCCTATAATTGCCCGGGTCCTCCCTTTTCCCTTTTTTGAAGATGGGGACCACATTAGCTACCTTCCAATCGTCTGGCACCTGGCCCAAGCACCACGATCGCTCGTAGAGCCGTGCCAGGGGCCCTGCAATAACCCCAGCCAGCTCCCTCAGCACCCTGGGGTGGAGAGCATCCGGACCCGCTGACTTGAACGCGTCCAGCCCCTCCAGAAGCTCTCTAACCCGGTCCTCCCCAACCTGAGGTCTGAAGGCGATCCCCTCGCGTCCGGCTTCTATCACAGCAGGGAAGTCCCGGTCCCTGCACAAGAAAACGGAGGTGAAGAATTGGTTAAAGAGATCCGCTTTATCCTCTGACGCAACCACCAGATTGCCCCGCATATCCTGCAGGGGCCCCACATTACCCGGCGCCTTCTTCATCCTCCCAATATATTTGAAAAAGGACTTTTTGTTATCCTTAATCCTGGACGCTAATCCGAGCTCTATCTCCGCCTTGGCCTTCCTAACAGCCCGCCTGCAGGCCCGAGCAGAGGAGGTATACTCCTCTTTGGAGATTACACCCCCCTTCCACCGGGCGTACTGAGGTGATGCTTGGGTCCTGATTCGATTAAGTTAGGCACTGTTTTAGGTGTTATTTTTACAAAATGTTGCTTTAACTTGAATTTCTGCTGTGATGGGTCCATGGAGGTAAAGCAGTCTGAATGTGGAATAAGACCATGGGAGGATGTTGCGAGTGGATGGACTGGCTGGGTCCCAGTCCTGCACAGTTCATCACTGTTCCTGGTTTTATTGCACATAGTACTTTATCAAGCTTAAAGAAAAGACACAGTGGCTATGTCTACATGAGATGCTGACTACACAATTACTGTAAAGTCATTTAATATTTGCCTACACAAGTATTAAATGACTGCGCAGTAACACCAGTAAAATTAGTTTACCACAAATTTAGATTATATCAAATATAACATGAAAAGAATTCTAAGGTTCAAAGTCAAGTTCTCAACAGAACGTGTCAGGATCCCTGGATGATCAAACCCAGACATTAGCATCTCCAGGCAGAAGCCTAGGCTGCACTACTCCCAGGTGCTGGCTAGATGCCAGACTCAGCTTAGCCTGGGGTCCAGTAGGGTCCGTGAGAGGTTTTCAGTGGGAGTGCAGATAATCTAGATAAACCACCGAAAGCCACAGCCCCTGATTGTAGGGTGGTACAACCCTCCCTCTTCCTGCAGGGCCTTGGCCTAGTAGCAGCACTTGGATCTTCCTGCTTAAATTCTGATTGATCTTGTTCCTGTCCTGGATTTCCTGGCCTTGATCAACTGCTTTGCTCTGACCATGACCCTGTTTTGTTCCTTGGACTGATATCCTGGAACTTGGACTAATACCTGGCTTTGACCTCAGCTGCTTCCACTGTGGTAAACTGCAGACTCTTGTCCTATTGTAAAACATTAGGCATAACTGCTTGTACCTTGGTCAATCTTTTCAGTAAACATATGCCAAAATTGTTTGCCCCTAATTCAGTTTTCTTGTGCTTATGCATTATGATATCTCTCTCCTATGCCTGAAGAAGGGTGTTTGTGCCTGAAAAAGCTTGCAAAGAACAATTTTTCCAACTGTTTAGTTGGACTAATAAAAAATATCACATTTACCTAAAGAAATTTGTCTGCATTATGATATGATCTTTAATGACATGATTCCCCCTTTTTTCACAGATTCCCTGCTGTATTCAGTCATACGACGTATGATGCTTTGTGGATGAATTGGGTTTGAATAGTGAATAAGTCTCTTGGCTGTAGGACTCCTGCTGTGCAGCAGAAGCTGGAAAGCATGCAGTGAATAAGGCAGGAAACTGGGACAACAAATGATCTTGTGCTTAAAGCAACTGAATGCCACCGTGGAGAACTGAAGTAAGTCATTGTCTCTACTACAGAGTTTTGTGTGATAGTGGTCAAGTTGTGTAAACCGTATAAAACATGTAAAAATTATCTTTGGAGTAGGAACTAGAACCCAGGTTCCCACTTTCCAAGGGAGTGCCTTAGCAGCTAAGCTCATGTTCCTCTGTCATGCTCAGTTGCATTGTTCCTCTGCCTGATGAGTCTTGGAGTATTCCATGCAAAGTGGAACAGCTTTTAAGAGGAGGGACTGAGTTGCCTCCTCTCCAGAATAACCTGTCCCCTGGTAGGGAGGGTGCTCTTATGGGAATTGTGCCTGTGATATCCCTTCTGGTAGAGGAAGAAATTGAACAGATGCTATGAATACTGAGTGCTCTTACCACCAAACCTTTGTAGAAAAAAAGGGGAGTAGTACCACTACTGGTCCTTTCTGGAAGTGGTTGCCATTTTATTTTGGACAAAGCCTGATCCAATAGATGTGCTCTAGAAATGCCCACCAGAACAAGCACAATGGGGGACATAGATCAAAGAATATCTAGTTTCTGGGGCTTAGGTGTGAACTACTTGTAGAACTGCCCAGACATCTCAAGCATGTGGCACTTCTGGGCATGCAGAACTTTAGGTGGCTAGAGAAATTTAGTTTTGAAAGCCAAGATGCTGATGGACTTGGGGCATTGCCAGGGTTAGACAGCATCTGAGTGGATGTTTTGAGGATCTAAATTTTAGATTTAGGTACTTATGTCCTTTATTTATATTTAGCCCTAAAATGCTAAGATAAAAGCATCATAGGAAAACTCGAGAAAATTAATAATTCTGTGTTCGGTTCAGGGTTTGAACAGTGTGAGGCCACGCAATGATGGATGAGGGTAAAAAAAATGTCAGTAGTTCCTCATTAATAAGCACCTTGCATCCTGTTCATTGAGTAAGCCAGGAGTCTTGCACAAAAATGTAAATGTAGTAATGCATATGCACGAAGGGGGTGAACTAAGGTTACAGAGGCAAGTTTAATTCTGGCATTTCCAAACTTTTTAATGCTTGACTTGATAACCTTGGAGTTCTTCTAATGTAGTTTGTTGCATCTAATTGGAAATGCATGTGTCACATTGGATGACAAATATCTTAATTAGCAGTTTTAAAGAAAATTAATCTTGTAAATAAAGTGCTAATAGGAAATATGGCAGAAAATGTTGTAAGGGCAGAAGGTGAATCCCCTCTACTGCTCTGATAGTGTCACCTTTCCAAATTGGAACAACATAATGGTGCATCATCTCATGATTTTCAGCAGGAAATCAAGAGAAATAAGGCATCATGACGAAGAACTATGTGAGGGTAATCAGTCCCTCCTTCCTGTGACAGTTGCAGCATGTAGTTACTCCTCCATAATTTACTCAAACTACTGGAAATGTTTGAGGAAAGAGTTACACTCTGATTTTAAGGCAAACAATTTCCTTTCACATGTGGGTCTACTTTGACAAGTGACTTTGCAAGGCTATGTAATTGGTCTGTTCCTTTTGTGTACCTCACAGGCCAGTGACACAACGGCTTGGCATCGCTGAATTACAGAAACAACTCTCAAACTGGAGCTTGCGTGTTGCATCACTTAATTTTGACCCCCTGGGCAGAGATAATTTCACTCCTGTATGTAGTCCAGAGCACTAGTCTCTGGCTTAATGACAAAGGTAAAATTACAGTATTTTTTCCCTTATTAAGCTCTGCAGATCCTTCACTGCTACGAGACACTGATTCGGCTTCTAATCTTGCTGGAACAGCCTCAGCAGAATTGCTTACTGAGTTCCAGTTACAGAGCCAGTCAATTACTTTTGCAGATGCATATTGGATGGAGCATGCGGAGTTACAGAGATACCAGGGAGGGAGTATTTGAACACAGGAGCTAGGGGCAGATATTCAAAAAGCCTGAGGCTGAATTGATTCACTCTTTGCAGGTTAGTCTAAGCTGCACAGCTTAAACTGATTAATAACTGGACAGACATTCTCTGTTAAATCAGGAAATGCAGGCACGTGCCTGCAGTGGCTCAAGCCAGAAGCTGGTGGGCGGTAGAGCATGCCTGCCAGCCACTGCCAAAGGGGAGAGAAGAGAGATGCCCTTCAAGGCTTTCCCCCCTCCCTGCTGCAGTGGAGGGGGCATGGCCAGGCACCAGCCAGGGCTAGCAGGACACACAGGATGCCAGCCACCAGCCTGACCATCAAGGAAGCAGGGTTTTCAAACGGCTGATAGGCTCTGGCTTCAGGCTGTCCCTGCTAGCAACTGAGCAGGGAAAAGGAAAATGTCAGGGCTGTCTTTAAGTAAATGTAACTGATCAGGGTAACTCATTCAAAAACACCAGTCCAGGATATTTACATGCCAATATGTTTCTAAATACATTATAAACATGTAGATAGAAAAAAAAAAGCCCACAGGGCAGGTTGTCCAATTCTTTTTTAGGTTATACTGCTGTGAATGAGAAGTACAGTAAAAGCTGTGTTAACCAGCATGAGTGGGATAAGGGGGGTGCTGAGTATCTAAAAATTCCAGTTATCTGAGGCAGGGGTTTTCAACTGTTTTGAGGCTGTGGGGGCAGGTGGCAGCCGCACCCAGAGCAGCGGCAGTGCAGGGTGGTGGGTGGTGGTGGCGACATGCCTGCTTCCCTTCTTCCCCCTCAGCTGGCCAGCTGGAAATTCCAGTTAATAGAGTATTCTGGATAGTAGACTGCTGCTTAACACAGCTTTTACTGTAACTCTGTTTAGATCAATGGTGTTATGCCAGGGAAAAAATGGCAGCAGGGAGAAGAGGTCTGGACCCAGTGCTTCTCAATATTCACTTTGTTAAAATAATAATTGGACATTTTTATTTTAAATTAAAGATATTGGGCAATGAATTAAAGAGCAGCAGGTGGCGGGCCCAAACAAATGTCCATTATAATTAGTGGTTCTGAGTGCAGTGGGGAGCTGGACTGGGATTGGTGGTACCAGTATAGCTGTGCTTGCAGAATTCCTGCTATAGCTACCTCTCGAACAACGGGAACTGGATATGTGGGCCTCTAATTATCCTCCAGCATCTGGCTGTAGCTGTGCTTGAAAACTGTTGCAAACCCAGCATGGATAGAGTCGAGGTCCTGGGGCATACTTGCTAGCTCCACACTTGCTTGGTAGGGCTAATTCAATTTGGCAGAGATTCGGCCCAATTCAGCAGCCGAATCTCTGAATCCAAATCAAATCAGGAGACCCTTTAATCTCTCTGAATTGAATTGGAAGTACTTCTGGTCCACTTCTGGGTCCACTGCTAAGCATGCAGGGCGGACCTCCGTGCTCCTGTGGGATGCTCCATCCCCCCCACCATCGCAGCATTTACAAGCCACATTCATGAGCCTGGTACCTTGAGGTATGTAGAAAAAACATTTAAAGCTGTGTCTATGGCTGAATTGCTGATTTCCAAATCAGCATTGAATCTTCAGATTCGGCCGAATCAAATTGGGACAGTGATCCAAATCAATGAGTCAAATCACTATCCCCAATTCAGGCCGAATCCGAATCTAATATGGCCCATTTCGCACACCTCTACTGCTTGGTGGTCTCTGTACTCTACAGCAGCACACACCCAGTCTGCTCTGCAGCCTCCTGACTCTCACTGAAAAGTTCTTTCTGGGTGATGTGCCTCTTGCCCTCTCACTGTCCCAGTCTGACTCTAAAGGACCCCTCACTGGGCACCCTGCTTCAGTGCCACTTGACCTGTGAACCTCAGGTGGCTGCTCAACCAAAGGGGCTGAGGTTTGTCTGTACAATAAGAAAGGTTCGGAGCACTGTAAAGCCCTATGGAAAGACAACATAGTCCTGTACTCTGGATGGAATCGCCTCTACTGTGTGTTTCTACCCTTGTCCTGCTGTCAGAGGGTTTCATTTATTTCCAACAGCACAGGCCTCTAGTTGTGGAGTAGGCATATCCAAGTTCTCTCCCAGCTTCTTCCATGAAGTTCCAAGTGACTTTGGTGTATAGTGGGGCACAGTTCAAAAGATCAGGCTGTTAACATCCAATACATGTAGTATGCAAAACTCTTACCTGGGAAGTCACCCACATCCTTGAGTAGTCTTGTCCCCTCTATTGCCTATAATTTGTCAGCTGGAAGGGGAACAGGACCCTTCCAATAGCCCCCTTTTAGTCTTTGCTGCTACTGCCCCCTTTGTACCTATTGATCAAGGAATCCATACTTTTTCCTTCCCTCTATTACTCTTCAACCAACTCCCTCCAAGTTGTGTCCCCCATTTCCTTCTGCCACTGCTTTCTGGATTGTCATCAACCCTTCTCAACTACCGTTCCTGACCACCCTCTGGCTCCTGTAA